AGCAGGAATTTTCTGCTAAGTTTATGATTTCAAAAGCAATAATCTCTCAAGGTTGTTAAGAGTTTTAATTCATTCCAAGTTCTATGTAAGCTTATATATAGGCATTTGAAATTAATAAAATATATTGATCTTTATACTCAACTTTGCTTTTAAGTATCTATTGTTCTATACTTAAAACAGTGTTTCTGGAACTTAAGATTTCTATCAGTGATATCAAAGCATTATATCTTATGGGCTGTGCGGCAAGTATTATGAGTGCTAAACACAGAGAGGGTGAGCAAAAATATTAGTGAGTTATTATTTTTATGCTTTCAATATTTACTTTAAGCAATATTGCATCTGCAATTCCAATGTTTAGTGGTGAACTCTATTATATTTGGGTTGTCAAAATGAGATTTTATTTAAGATCTCGATGCTTATGGAATGTTGTGGTTACTGATTCTAATCCACCACCATTGAATGCAAATCTCACAATCGCTCAAATGAAAGCACATGAAGAAGACAAACTCAAGAAGGACAAAGCCATTACTTGCCTATATTCTGGACTTGTAGATCATATTTTCACCAAAATAATGAATCTGGAAACACCAAAACAAGTATGGGATAATCTTCAAGTTGAATTTAAAGGGAGCAATAGAGTTAAAGTAGTTAAGCTTCTTGCATTTAAAAGAGAATTTAAGTTGAAGAAGATGAAAGAAAATGAATCTATCGAAGATTATTATGGTAGATTAATGAATGTTGTAAATCAAATGAGACTTCTTGGAAATGCATTTGAAGATTATAAGGTAGTAGAAAAACTTATGATATCAGTCCCATAAAGTTTGAAGCCAAGATCTCTGCAATAAAAGAATCTTGCGATTTGCAAAATCTTACTATTGTAGAGTTAATTGGCAAACTTCATGTACAAGAGTAAATAGTTCATATGAGAGATGATGAGGCTGTTGAAGGGGCTTTTCAAGCAAACAACAAGGGAAGGAGTGCTGGTAACCTGCCAAGAAAAAAACTTGTCAAGTTTTCTAAAGGAAAAACAAGAATACCTTTAAGAAATATTTTCTTGTCGTGCTTTTATTACAGAAGAACTAATCATGCTGAGAAAAATTGCTAGTTTAAGGGTAAACCTTCTCTCCAGTGTATGTTCTGGAATAATCTTGGCCATAGTGAGAAATTTTACAGAATCAAGAAGAAACAATCTCAACAACAAATACAATAACAAGCAAATGTTTTTGAAAAAGACAAAGATGATGAGGAGCATCTGTTTATGGCATCACAAGCTAGCAATACTTTTGAGCTAAATACATGGCTTCTAGATGGTGGTTGCACTAGTCACCATGTCTAAGTTTCTATCAATCTTTTCTTCTATTGACAGATTAGTTCAACCAAAAATCAAGTTGGGAAATGGAGATATTGTGTAGGCTAAAGAAAAAGGCACTGTTGCGATTAGCACAAATAGAGGTATTAAAACCACCATAAATGTTCTTGACATTCCAGTATTAGATCAAAATCTCCTTAGTGTTACACAAATGCTTAGGAATGGTTATGAAGTCTCTTTTAAAGAGAGATTTTACTTTATCACTGATACACATGATTCATAGATAGCAAAAATCAAAATGGATGGTAATAGCTTCTATTTGAAGCTTGATGCTGTTAAAGGGCATGTGTTTAGTGCTAAGATTAATGAAAGCATTCTTTGGCACAAAAGATTTAGTCACTATAATCTCAAATCATTAAAGTTGTTGAATGATACTAGTATGGTAGAAAACATGTCTAAAATTCATGTTACTGCCAAAAAATGTGGAAGCTGTGAACTGAGAAAGCAACACCGACAACCATTTCCCAAAGGTATATCTAAAAGAGTAATTCACAAACTAGAGTTAGTCCATTCAGACATATGTGGACCAATGAGCATAGCCTCTTTGAGCAATAATATATACTTTATATTATTCATTGATGACTTCAGTAGAATAACTTGGGTTTATTTTCTGAAAACCAAGTCACAAGCACTATTAATATTCAAAAACTTCAAGAGCATAGCTAGACTCAAAGTGGTCAGAAGATCAAGGTGTTGAGAACTGATAATGAAGGAGAGTATATTTTGAAGGAGTTCAAGGCTTTTTGTTTAGAAGTTGGGATTGTATACCAGCTGATAGTTCCATACTCTCCACAGTATAAAAGAGTTTCTGAAAGGAAAAACAAGACTGTGATAGAGATATCCAGATGTATTTTGTTTGAAAAGAAGTTGCCAAGGTTTCTATGGGCAGAAGTAGTAAATAATTCCGTATATTTGCTTAATAAACTTCCAACTAAGTCTATTCAAAGCAAAACACCATTGGAAGCATGGTCAGGTTTCTGGCCTACTGCTAAACATCTCAAAGTGTTTGGATCATTGTGCTACTTTCTTGTGTCATCTGCTAAAAGAAGGAAACTAGATGAAAGAACAGAGAAAGGAATTCTTGTGGGATATGTGACATAATCAAAAGGTTATAGAATATACAATCTGAATGCAGCTAAAATTCAGATCAGCAGAGATGTGCATTTTGATGAGAATTCTCACTGGAATTGGGACTTAAAGGGAGTTGATTAGAAAAGCAAAGCTGCACTTGAACCAGCAATAAGAAGTATTGGTGTTGAAGTTCAACCAGACATTGAAGCAACTTCAGATACAACAGTACTTAAAGTAAGGCCATTGTCTGATGTGTATGAAAGATGTAATCTTGTACATGCTGAGCCTACAAACTACACTGAAGTTGCAGGAGTTCCAGCTTGGATTGAAGCAATAAAATTAGAAATTGATTCCATTGAAAGAAATGGAACTTGCAGATTAATTGAACTTCCTAAAGATAAAAAAGAAATTGGTGTGAAGTGGGTCTTCAGAACCAAATTCAATCCAGATGGTTCAATCTGTAAGCACAAGGCTAGACTGATTGTTAAAGGCTTTGCTCAAATTGCTAGAGTGGACTATGGTTATACTTTTGCGCCAGTAGCTAGGCATGACATTATAAAACTCCTATTTGCTCTTACATGTCAAAAAGAATGGAGAGTATATCATTTAGATGTTAAGTCTGCCTTTCTAAATGGAATACTCCTTGAAGAAATTTATGTTCAGCAACCAGAAAGGCTTTGTAGTTGCTGGTAATGAACACAAAGTATACAAGCTACACAAGGCTGTTTATGGCTTGAAGTAAGCACCAATGGCCTGGTACAGCAAAATTAACACTCATTTGATTCAACTAGGATTCAAGAGAAGTGAAAATGAAGCTACTTTGTATCTGAAACAAGATGAAGATGGTTTGTACCTAGTGATATCACTCTATATAGACGATATGCTAGTTATTGGAAGCAATGCAAAGTTGTTGGAAGCGTTCAAAACGGAAATGCAAGATGTTTTTGAAATGTCTGATCTTGGCATTATGAACTACTTTCTTGGAATGGAAATACATCAATGTAGCTCAGGTATTTTTGTTTCACAAAGGAAATATATTGTTGTTATACTCAAGAAATTCAAACTTGAGTCATGCAAAGAAGTAGTAACTCCTTTGGCACAAAATGAGAAGATTTCAAAAAATAATGGTAAGAAACTTGAAGATCCCTCTGCATTTAGAAGCTTAGTGGGTAGTCTACTATACTTGATAGCAACTAGACCTGACTTGATGTTTCCAACTGGTTTGTTGTCAACCTTCATAAGCTCACCTAGCAATATTCACATGGAAATTGCTAAAAAGGTGTTGAAGTACATTAGAGGAACAACTGATCTTGGTATCAGGTACTCAAAGACAGGATGAGTGAAACTAATTGGTTATGTAGATAGTGACTGGACAGGGAGTGTTTATGACATAAAAAGCACCTCTAGGTATGTTTTCAACATTGGTTCAGGTGTAATATGTTGGAATGCAAATAAGTAAGAGGTGGTGGTAGCTATTGCAAATCAAGTAATTTGGTTGAACAAGTTGCCTGCTGATTTGGGTGAAGAACAAAGCTCACCAACTAAGCTTTTTTGTGATAACAAATCTGCTATTTTCATTGTTCTAAATTCGATTCAACATGGCAGAACCAAGCACATTAGTGAAATTTTACTCTATAAGAGAAGCTGGGAAGAATCTGCTTATAAAGCTATATCATTGTCCAACAGATGTTCAACTTCCAGTTATAATGACTAAAGCTCTTCCTAGATCAAGGCTAGAATTTCTAAGGATGAAACTTGGTTTGTTCAAGGCAAGTCTCAAGGAGGAGTGTTAGAATTATGAGATTCTACCTTTAACAAAGATAAAAGTTAAGTGCAGTTATCTTATTTGAATTCTATATAATCGTTTTACTTTCAGAGTTTGCAGCAGGA